GAATCATATGGTAGGACTGGTGTTTGTCAGGAAATATTTCTGTTTCATTTCAACTGGAGCACAGCAGCATCAAAGAAAGAAAATCTTCCAGAAAGCAAAAAAAAAATTACTCTTTGCCTTTTCAGGAGTTCTGATAATTTTATTATTAAAAAATTAAAATAATTGTACTCCATTTCCAAACAATATTTTGCAGAAGAGGACTTGTTAAAAAAAAGTTAGTTTTCAGATCAACCATCTATCTTGGATACTTTTAAATAATCATGGCTCAAAAGGAGGGGCAGTTACATTCTTTATCTCTCTAGAAATTTTGAAACCATGTTATAACCCACTAGTTGCATGTGCAGTTTTATTACAAATGTGACTCCCTGCATGGCTCTCAAAGTTAAATCCAGCTTAAAAAAAGAAAATTAAAAAAAAAAAAAATCTTTCAATCATCAAGAAAAACCTTACCACAATTAAAAAGAAATATATATATACTCTTTTTAAATATAAGAGCGATGGGTGGCTTCCAGTCTACATGTTATTTTTCCTCGAACTAAATACCAGCAGTACAATACGCAGAACCTTTGTAATAAAAGCTTTTTTTCCCCTTCTACAGTCAGCTTTGGGTCCGTCGTCCTTATCTGAGACAGCTCAAAACATAATTTTCCAGCCTGTGCCAGGGAGCAGCCTCAAGCTCCAGAAAGGCCCACGTCTCAGAGGCTGCTCATGGTGGCTGGGACAGCGCAGGTGCCAGCACCGCTACGCACTCCCGCGTTCTTCACATTGTGCTCATGGACAGAAGCGGTGCAGCGTCCGTCCGCGGCGCGGGTCCTCGGCGGGGCCCACGGGCTTCCACCACGTTGACAGCGGTCGGCAGCGTCAAGGGGCCTGGATCGTTGGGGAGCGGGAGGGGGCACAGTTAGTGAACAGGCATGGAGGAGAAGGAGGGTGGAAAAGCGAAGCAAGGGTAAGGGCAAGACTGATGCAAAAAGGCGAGGAGAAAGGGCGGTGCTGGAAGGTAAATACTGAAGGGGAGAGGCATGCATGTACACGGCGACACTGTCAAATAAACCCCTTTCTGCTCAGTATCATGCACATTTTTGCAGAAGTCTGATATGGCATCTCATGTATACACTGGCTACGCTTCCCAAATGAAAAGCACTTCGTATTTCAAAGCACTTCATAAAATGAGCAAGAACCACGTGCGTTTTACAGACGGGAGAAAATTGTGTGATGGAGGAACAGACCTCTCAAGTGTACAGCGCCTTTTATCTGCAGGAAGCCGAAAGGGTTTAAGTGGCAGCTCTAAATGTACACCTGAAACAAGCACCTGTAAGCAACTGCAGTTTTCCAAGTCGCTGGAAAATGTAGATTCTAATGTAGGTTAAAAAAAAGGAGAGGAGAACAGAAACTCGGAAAAACGAGCATTACTGCACAGGAGCAAACAGTGGTGCACACACAAATCATTCACAATTTAGATGACTAAGGGACTAGATACTACTGAAGAAGCTGACTGTAGCTATACTTTCTTGATTAACATAAAAAACTGGGTTGGAAAAAGAGTCACTTTAAAACAGGTCACAATACAAATTAAGACCTTGCTTTCTAATTTTGCATGTGAAGGCATAATTCTTTGTAAATTTTAAATTTTTAATTCCTAAAATCAAAACCACAGAAGTGCCGTGCACAGTTGTGGCTAGTCTATAGCCCAGTTGGAATCAAGTCCTCCAAAAGCTACAAAGAGTATCAGGGGAGAACATGCATCACTTTAAACAATGTTTTGGAAAAGACTGTTACGCAGGAGCCCGTAGTTAGAAAACTGTAAGGCTTTAGGCACAAGCATCTCCAAAGCAGCAGGGATAAGCAATTGACTTAAACAGTAGAATTTTAAAAGGCTTTAGAAAATGGACTAACTGTTGTCCATGTTGTACTAGGATCCTTCACTGGTATGTTTTAGGAGAGACTGATGCAAGGTATGGTCAGGTATTAAAAAAGTGCTTGGAAAAAAGCACTCTCAAACTACTCAAGCAAGGAAATTCCTAAAACAAATGTATTCCTTCAGTTTAATGTAAAATTCTCTATTTAATGACCCAAATCTAAACAAAGTGGAAACATTGTTGCTGTTCATCTAGAAGGGTCATGGACAGCCCCCAGATCAAATTCCACCTTCTCACAGTCCAGAAAGCCTGGTTTGACACTCCCACCCCTGTCAGAACAGCCAAGCAGCCCGCACAAGAGTTGGAAGATCACACGTGTTATGGCAGGGAAGTAGAAAAGCATGCAGGATTCACAGCAGCAGTAAATGATTAATGTGAAAGGATAGTCCTCCTTTAGAAAAGAGAGAGTATTTATATAAAGGTCACCCATGGGTAAATTCAGAGGGGTTTTTTTTTTGTGAAACACGCTGAGGTAGTGACCTGTGAATACTGAAGGCTCCAATCCTCAACAGTTTGTTACTTTAAGTGGTTAAGTGAAAGCTACATCCACTAACAAACAAGCAAAAAAAAAAAATACTCTATTTAATTCCACAATAAGGAAAGAGTCATTAAAACTTTGTCTCATGTCCTACTGTAGCACAGAAACAGCTTCTTGAGGAAAGACTAAAGTTAGAAGGACACTGATTATGTTTTAGGCTTCCCAGCTTTGCAGATAATATTCCAGACTGTTTTCAGACCACGCAGACCAGTACAGTTTTCTTGTACTGACAATTTTACAGGAATAGAGCAAAGAAAAAAAAAATAAAAACACTAAAATCCTTCCTATCTGGCAAAGCACTTCCTACAATCTGGCACAATTGTTGTTGGCAGCTGCAGCATTAGCATTTCAAATTAAAGGAAACATTGACATTAGGAAGGGATCTAAGCTGCAAGGTAGCCAATACAGACATCTGCCAAGCAGAGTACAGGAACTCATGAGGTCGGGACCTTACTTCTAAACCCCTTCAACCTAACCGTCTACAAAATCCCCAGTCCAAAATATTTCGGTGTTCTCGACAGTCCTTGGCAAACTCTCTCTAAAAGAAGACTATTTTTCTGACAGAAAGCAAAGATAATTCATGCAGAAACAGGCCAATTAAAGACAGTAGCAGCTGAAAAGAGATCTTGTTAGCAGCATCGAGACATCAAGACTTGAAGGTGCCATAGCCAAGTCACAGCCCCCGCAATAAACATGTATGTTCTGGCAACTACATTAACCTCACCCCACTTCCCATCTAGGAAACCAGAATGTAGCTCAACTGCTGACTCAGCTCCAAAGTGTTGTCTTCTTCCTACAGCTGGACTTGCCCTTTATTACAGGCAGTACTGCTTCCAGTGAACACATTAAAAACCTCTTTGTCAGAAGACAACTGCCTTCAATAATAACGATATGTCTCTAAGAAACATAACACATAAACACTATAAGCATTACATGCTCAATTAAAACGCATCAATCACCAAGAAGCTTGTTTTCTTTATGGCATACTGTTTTGGGTTACATGCAGGTGTATTTTATATTCACTCCCACTCTTCCATAGAAAGGCTACCTACTGCGGCAGCTGGCATGTAAGCTTAGATTCCTTGACAACGTTAAGACAGACAGGCTCAAGTTCTTAATCCTAAAACAGGCATACCAAGACCAAAACTGAAACAGATTGGCTACAGAGTCCCCTCTGCTTCTGAACAAAAGCAGCAGGATTTCAATAAGCAACAGAAGCCTTGCAAATACTAGCAAGAACACTAGCACAAGTCAGAACCCAAGAAGAGCTGTTTTGAGCAAGAGTCAAACATTTCCACCAAATGAAATACCGCTTTTTAGCACACATCTTGCAATTAGACCAAAAGAATAAAAATAAAACCATATTGAGAATGTTGAAGAATAAAGAAACCACCACCTTTCACCCACCACCATGGAAGGAATCGAGCGATCACCAGGATCTCACCATAGACAAGCACAGATTTCAGATACTAGACAAATTGAGGGCAAAAGAAAGAAAAACAGCATTGATCATATGTTCTGATTGAAACTTCAGTAAAATGCAACACATAAAGCAGAATTACCATCCCCCTTATAATCCCAAATCCATAGTATTAAAAGTCTTTAATCAGTAAAATTTACAAAATTAAAATACATTTGTCATTGCAGTTAGAAATAGGTATCATCTACTCTTAAGAGATACTGAAGCAAAGTAGGTTTGTATGTCTGACAATGGGAGAAGGACCTTTTCTCTTGAGGGCTGAAAGTGCTCAGAATAAGAACTTTTGTTTGTGTCGCTCCATTCCACCACTGCTGCTCCTGGAGAGTCTCACAGAAACCAGAATTACCCTTCTAGAATAAGTCATGCTGCCTCTGAATGCACAAGCAGCTGAAAAAGTTAACATGATGTGTGCACAAGTATTGGGTTGATATAGGTCAGGTTTGGTTTTGAAATAGCTTTGCAATATAGAATTACTTTAAGTAAAGATAAATGATATGTACATTTATCTTCAAACAAATCATCCTCATTTTGAGATGCATTCCATCCGCAAGACAAATACTCTGATTACATGAAATCAAAGCTCTTATCTTCAGCTTGTATCATTTTCCTCAAGCTCCCATTCTACCCATGATAATGAAAAAAATCAACTTGCCCATTTCAAAATGTTCAAAAGATGATTCACAAGAACACTGATTTACAAGGTTCTGCATTTTGTTAAGGATCAAGGTAAGACCTTGGGCCCCATGATACCAAGCAAAGGGTTACAGGAGTATTATGGCAAATGAGGAGGATCTAGCTCTCTCCGAGACTTTGAAGTGCTGTTCCTGATTTAATAATTTCTTCAGCCACTCAAGAAATCTTTTGGTTGGCAGTGGCTAAGCCTGTTGTCCTCACCTCCCCACACTGCATTCACAGCAGCAAATCAGCTGCATCATCACTAACTTGACTGTCAACTTACATTAAAGATACGAAGATGGCAGCTTATTTAAGTGCAGATAAAGAAGCAGCCACTTAAATAATGCATAAGCAAGCAAAATTAATTTCCCAGCAAAGCAGAACATACCACTTCTTGTCTTGCTGGCTGGCTCCTGGGCTCCTTGGGAGGTTTTCTATTTCCACTAAGACTGGGGCAGAAGGAACCGCTGTTAGGACAGGTAGGTTTGGCTTTGCATTCCAGCTCTTTGGACACAGAATATAAACAAGTTATTAAACACACATTAATGAAGTGGTGACACATTACACATAGCAAAACATACCACCACTTCTCCTTAAGCACAAAGCTAAAGCAAAGCTCTTGTCTTCCGTTACTTCCACAGCAGGGGATACTGAGATGCCCAGTCTTTTCAAGTACTGCACACAGTACTGAGATCATAATAAACCCAAGGCTGCTCACATATTCCAGTAAAAAGCTATGGCCTGCTGTGTCCTTTTTAAAATCAGGCACTAAACGCTTCCCTTCTGTAGGTAACTTTGCAATAACGATTGGCACCTTTGGGTTGCAGGCCTTTGGACTACCATTTGAAACATAACTGCTCCTGAAAAAAACAACTCCTTTTGCATAGAAGGCAAAAGGCTGAGCAGAGCAGCAATCTATCTAATCAGCAGAGATTGAGCAGTTTAATGTTAAAACAAACCATAATCTTGCTTCTACCAATATGTGATCCGTTCTGTCGCACTCTGCATCTGAAATGCTCCAGAAAGCGAGAGAGTCCTTCTAAACTCCAAGGCCTGCTCTTTGATACTCAGAAGGAGAGTTACTTTATACTAATGTCCCTTTCCAGTGAAACAAGGTATTCTGTGTGCAAGTGCTGAGGGGACAGGTGTCCGATTTCCTTCTCAAACTCAGAAAACACTGAATTTTTTCTAACAATGTATTCTTTAAGTTGCAGGTATATTCCCCTCTTTCAAAAAATACTGTAACCAGGAATCAACACAGGGGCTGATGAACTGTGCCCTCCCCGCCCCCCCCCCCCCCCCCCCCCTTTTTTTTTTTAATGTTACATACCATATAAAATTAATATGCTTCGGATAATAACAACTGTCACAGAAAGGTACTTGGTATACCTATGAAAATCTGTATCTACAAACAGCATAGTTTTTATAGTACTGGGGCGTGGGGTATCTTCCTCACTCCAGCTAAATTAACCAATTATCTTGCTTGTAAATTAGCAGTTATTTCTTGGCATGCAATTTAGTAGTTAACTGTTTGTAACTTTCAATTGACCATTCATTGGATTTTAAGAATGAATAATGAAATCTTCCAATCTGTTGAAATACATCAAAACTGCCTTTAAAAATAATGAGAGTCCTTACCTGTGATCCATTAGTTTGGTTGATAACAGCGTTGTTTGCAGTACTAAAAGATAAACAGAATTTAAATCAGCATCAGATAAACAAACTATTTTTGCAGGCTGGCAGATCTGCAGGGATTTTCATAAGGAAAAACAAAGTCTTAACAAAGATCTTTCCAAAGTACTTAACTGTTCCCAAAATAAAACTTAAAAACTTATGTTTTAGGTCAGCTGCCTTACTTTAGGTAACTAAGGGTATCACATTATTTTTTTATTTGTTCAAGCTGTAGTTTAGCTGTAATTCATCTGTATTTTCCTCTTCCTTTCCGAAGCCAGTTTGATTTAGAAAGTCTTCCTGATTCAGCAGTAAGGTGAGGCACTTCTAAAGCAAAACCAGTACAGTTTTAATTAAACACCCAGCAAAATGTGACTTGCCTACATGCTGTAGATCCTGTGTTTGTTCCATAACTAGGACTCTTCTGAAGTTTCACATCACAAAGTTTATCATAAAAATTCATGAGTTTCTTCTGCATACAACCTCTAATGGACTGCATTAGTGTTTCAGTCATAAAAGCAGTCATTCAAAATTATGTGCACAGCACCTCACCACAGCATTAATAATAATTTTATATTATTAAATATTTAATATATTTAATAAATAAGACCCATATCCCTGTTCCTGATGATTTCTGAATCTGTAAGGGACATTACACATTTTTGAGACTTAACAGCATTAACATCCTGCACAATAATTATGCATTATAAATCTCACGCAAAGCAAACTTCTTTTTTCAGACTTCCAATCTTTTAAAAAATGGTTCCCATCTCCTATGACCCATTAATCTTTTGATTTACAGTTTGGACAATAGCTATCCAACCGGGCAAGATGACAATTCAAATAGATTTCTGTATCTACTTCAGTGATTCTTTAGAATTATTTTCTTAAATACCACAATGTCAAGACCAAACATGCTGTTCCTTGCCTGTTTCCCAACTTTGCACCTTCTCTAATGACAGAATGCAGAGGTTACCACAGAATAGTTCATGTTTAAGAGAAATACTAAGGAATGCCTTCTGGGTAGCACATTCCCCTGTGTTGAGTTAACACAAAGGAATGGAACAACATACATCTTTCATGATGCATTTCAATTAGCAACACTTGAGTGTGGAGTTTCAGAAATGGCATAGATTGCTCTGGAGACTAACATAACAGTGCCACACCTAGGTGCAGATCAGAAGACTGCTGTCTTATCAGAAGGAGAAACTGCATATGAAGTTTCTCTTCCCACTCTCAGAATGACCTAAGCAGCACGAAACTCGGAGAAGGGCATGACAACATCGTGTGACGAGAGTTGTAATTAATCACAGTCACATTCTGCCTGCAGAGGATCTTTAAGCACTTTAATGACACCCAGTTTTGAAGGGTACTTACCTATTTTATACAAAGAAAAGACAATAGAGAAGGTCACAGAGAGACCTCCACTACGGTGACTGCAGCTGTGTCCCCACAAATCCCAGACTTCTCCCCCTCTTATGCAAGAATCAACCCCGCCGCTACAAACGGGAAACGTATGGCTGTATTAAGCCAGATCTTTTGAAATGTTCGTTTGACACTCCTTATCCAGCTCCTGACAGTCATGATGCTTAACATCTATGAGTATCTACCTTTTAAAAATCATTTGGTTGCCACAGATTACTGCAATGTTCAAAAGTTATTAGGGTAAAGGACAGAAACCAGAACTGAGTGACTTAGTTCCTTCACTACCAGGTAATTCTTTTTAGCCAGGTTTCCTCTCTTTCCTTAAGGAAGGTTATGAAAACTGTATGAATCAGATTCATATGAGTATTTTACACTGCAACAGCAAGTATGAACCTACACATGCAGGAAGAATCTAGGTAAAGAAATACCGAATCAGAAGGCATCCTTCTCAATGTTGATCATGAATAATTTAGTATAAATACATGAAAATAAATAGTTGTATATATAAAAATAAACGCAAGTATAGTACAGAATATAAAATCATCAACACATTTCAAATATTTATTTAAATGTATTTTCCCTGTCTCTGGCCTTCCCTTGATTATGTATTTCAGTCACACAGCCAGTGTAGGCAGATTTCAGAAACCTCTTTGCCTGCTAGTAAGCAAGTCTGGCAAAATCTTCTATGGGACAGCAACACAGGAGCTTTGCTTTGAACGGTAGGTTTTATGTAAAGCAAACAAACACAAAACCCACAGCAAAACCACAGTTAAGAGGTTAACGCTCTTTACATTTACCTAATTTTATAACCTCCTTCTGCAGACATGTGCTCGAGTACAGGTGGCAAAGATCAAAGAGAAATTTAAATATTGGAATGCATCTTACCTTGTTTCTTCAAGTTTAGCAGCATGTGCTGCAAAAATATAAAGTATTATTTAAGATTTAATTTGTAATTAGGTTATCAGTCATAATATTAAATATATTAATAATAAAAATAGTCTAGCACTGCCTAAAAGTAGGCAACTAAAAGAGCAAAAGGTGCATGTATCCCATGTATAATGTGAAAAAATTACATTCTAAATTGGAAGAATAAAATAAAATATTTGAAGAGCAAACCAGTGAGTCTGACTTAAGCAAGTATCTCAAAGCATGCATGGAGGTCACTCTTGACCTATGCAGGAGTGGGAATATGAGATGAGGTATCATAGGCTGTCAGATTGTTAAAACAGAGTGCAACTCCTAAGAACAATGAAAAAATCTCAATGATAAGAATTTCAAACTTGATTAATAAATTTCAAATATTATCATTAATATATCGCTGTTTCCTGGACCAAAGTTTTCCATCTTCATACAGAGATCTATTGTGCAATATTCATGGGTGTTTTACCTGCTAGGCAAGCTGGAATGGCATACTTTGGACACAAGCTTTTTCTGATAAATACATGTGGTCTGCCAAATAAGTCAAAGAAAACCTAGTATTGAAAATTCAAAAGAAAGGCAAACACAGCTACAGAATTGCTACATAGAACCTTTAAAGGATATGATTACTTGATTCTCACAGTGGATTATACTTCTCAGAATGGAAGGTCTTTTACCTTTCATTTGCAGTGTTCGTCTTGAATATCTCTTGCTGGGCCTTCTTTCAAAGGATGCTGATCTCCTGGCTTTGTTGGTCTTGGTGGTTTGATATTCTGTTTTCCCACTTACAGTGCCATGTAAAAGTACAAAACAATAAAACAAATCACTTATTTTTGATGTCAGAATACAGACACTGATCATCAAAACGTCACAATTCTATTTTAAACTCATAGCTTAATGACCTGATCTCAGTTCTATTAAAATAATCCTAAACCTAACACCTCAGAAGGCCTTTCACAAAAAAGCGAAGGAGTTTTACAAACATCCTAACCTTTGTGCCTTTTTCCCCAAAACAAAAGGCTGAAGCAATGATTCCTTAAACACTAAGTTGCTGAAAAAGCACATTTGCCCTTTGCATATTTCTGTGGTCACAGCGCAAGCGGTTTAGGATAGGTTGAACATTCTAGGAGTAAAGCTTAAGGTATGTTGCCAAAGGCCAGAGAAAGATGATAATAGGACTAAAAAATCAGCATCTAGATGTTCTTGTTCCCAGGCAAGTCTTTTTTCTCCCAAGTTTGCCCAGACTGCCCCCAAGGCAGTAGCAGCCTCATGTTCTGCCGACTCCTTGGTACCACTGATCCTTTCTGAAGCAGACTAGATGGTATTGCTCCAGCTGCTGGAAATGGACGCAGAGTACGTGCATGCTGCCTGGGGTCACACCTCACCCCCTTCCTTATGTTCTCACCGACTCTGGTGGGGCAGCTGACAGCATCCTGCAGACTAGTCTGGGACCACAAGACATTTGGAAGTCTGTTACGTGCACTGGCAGTGCCTATTATGGAATGGGCATTATCTTGGGCTTCTGAAGCACTACCATCACCCCAAGTCAGGAAAACAGGAGTCAAAAGACTTGCAGTGTCCCCAGCTGGGGCAATCAATCACCCACCTTCTACAGTTCATTTTAAAAAGGGTGGGCTTTCAAGAGGAAGTGATCTATAAAACACAGTGTGCTACATATGTTATGTAAGCAACATAAACCTTGAGAAACGTTTGGTTTCCTACTGCACAGACCAGAATCGCCTAACAACGAATCAGAAAACGCAGGGGGAAAATCCATATGACTTAATAAAATCAATGATGTGACTCACTCGGCTTGCAGGTTTCACTGTTCTGTATGTCCTAGGTGAATGAATACAAAGTTCTCCCCTGTTTCTACACATAATCCAAGAAAAGCAAGAAACGACAGAAGACATGTGCTGAATGACCGGTGACACAGACCTGTATCGGAACCGGGATCCTAACCGAATGAAGCCTGATCGACTTGAGCTTTTTTGGACAGGACCTCGGAGCCGGAAGAAGGCGTGATGTTCAACTGCGCATTTCCACAAGTGTTTGCAGGCTTTGGGATGATCCAGTCTAAAGACAAAAGTGTGCTCCTGCTCCTTTCCCTTAAAGCACACAAAGCACACTAACGATTTACAAGGGGCTTGAATAAGTCAAAGCTACAATTCAGTGTAAGCCAAATAAAATCTGTCTTCTATGAATACTAAAACATATGTTTTAAAAAAAAATCTTTTAGACAGAAAAAAAAAAAATAATCAACTTTTCCAGAAGCTTTAATGAACAACTGCTCCATTGTCTGAAGTTGGAAAGGGTTAGAGCCTGTATATTTAGCAGGTCAACCCTCTGAATAACTACAAATTAGAGACATCATTATAATAGGAAGGTACTTCTCAATGAGGTTAACATGGACTCACTTCCAAATCTGAGCTCCTCAAATTACCAATGCTTGCATTTTTATCATCTCAGCTCTGAGCAATTTTTTCCCATGGAAACAATTCTGGCACCTGCTTAAGGAATTCATTCCACTAAATGTGGTACATGGCCTTTTTTAAGCTTTCTTGCACAGTTCACGCTGTTTCCAAATTATCTGGTCTACATTAGTTTCACAGGGTATTCCCCTTCTAAAATCAGAGTGAGAAAAAAGTCACCGAGTCTATTTATTTTATATTTAAGTCCCAACAGTCCTCTCCTCCCCACAAGTCCCAATCAAAAATCTTGCAGGGCATCCATGTTAATTTAAAGAAAGAGATCAGGAGTTTGTAAACTAGCACGGTATAATCAAGACTGAGATGTAACTAAACAGATAGTTATCTACCTGTTCATCATCTTCAACAACAACTAGAGTGAGTTTGTTCTTCTTGAAGTCCAGCCTTGTTATCTTTGGCCTGCAAAATGAACACAAAAAGCAGGTCACATCTAACTCTCTTGGTAACTCACTGGGAGGTATGTTTTACATACTGGTCCAAACCTCTCTACCAAATTTTTTTTTCTGTTTCTGTGGGTGTTTTATGTTCATGCAGTAGCGCTTAATTATACTGTGGATACAAACGTATCACTTCAAAATTTCACACTTAATTAGAAATGTTAAAGATAGGAAGTCAGCAGCTTCTAAAGAGATAATTCTATCAGAACTTAAAATAATAATTACTTGAACTGAAATCAAACTCCACCCAGATACTCCTGCTCGCCTACTCTTCCACAAGCCCACAAAACTGAACTCAAAGATACAAAGGCAGGCCAAAATAATTCTGCTTCATTGAAGAAATGTAAGTCACTGTACAACATATCACAGATCAATTCCTATGATGACTCTGTTTTAAAAGATCCCAGCCCAAGAGAACTACCTGAAAAAATGCAACCACTTTCCCCACTCCCTGCCCACCAAAAAAATAACTAGAATTGATGGTGGAGGGACAAGATACATAAAATTTCTACTACAAAGTGATTGTTTTTCTGAGAAGTTTATAAAATTGGACTGGGCTAACCCAAACTAACTACTCATATGATGAAATTTCGCCTCATCTGCCTAACTATTCTTAATATACAGTTTTGAAAGACTGGATAGGAATTACAGAATAAAGCACTTAAAAATCCATAAATGCCTGTGTACCCAAACCCAAATAGGCTAGTGAGAAGGTTCTCCACCTTGTGTTTTATGCAATATAAAGCCCTGCAAGATTTCATCAGAATATTTCTAAGAAACCGTGACGTGTTCTTCAGGTATTTGACAGATGAAGAAGCACATGTTCATAAAAACCGAAGGAAGCTCTTATCCCCTGACTGTATATAGATCTAAGTTTGTAGGGAGGGCAAAGAGTGCTTCGGTTTCTATAAATAAATAAAAACATCCCAAAGTTATTCCATCTTTTACCTGCCTCTAGTATGTTACACATGTACAGCCTATTAACATATCAACCAAGAATGTAAAAAAAAGGAGTATTTTTGGACACCATGAAAACACTCACAGGCTACAGAATATTTCTGCAGGTACCTAGTATTCACAGTGCTCTTATATCCCAAATAAGTACTTTGCTAGTGCAAAAGAAACAAAAGAATAAAAATCTAAAATATATTTTAACATACAATCAGAGAGCTTACCAGAAAAACAAACCAATCTTTGTGTCTCCTTCAAAGACAAGAACTCCTGTAGGTGTTAGGCCCAGGCTGTAATCATTGCCGTCTCTTGCCTAATTGCCACAAAATAAAGCTTATGTTTATTTTGGTGTTTGACCCTTTATCCAAATTACTCCAGTGATTAATGTAGCTTATTTGCCCAGTGTTACAATTAAACACATATCTGCTTATTTTATACAACAAAACTCTCGTGTTTCAATGATCTTATGCAATGGATTTTTCTAGTTTGCAATCCTTCAATAAAGCTGACTAAAGTGGAAAAATAAAGTTTCTTGATTTGTCTGTAATAAGGACCTCCTTGTGCAGTTCTCTGCACTTCCCTCCCCACAGGAGATCTATTTTTACTTGTAGTTCTTCAGCTGGCAGCTGGCTGGAACCCAGCCAATTTTAATTTAATTACTATGATTTTCACATAGCTCTTGGTCTAAATACAAACTGTAGTACATATTGCCACACCAATCACATATTTAACACAGAGCAGATATGCTTGGACTAAAGTTATACCTTCTAGAAATGTATACTATGAAATGGAATGTTGATGCAAAGCCAGATCAGTTGTCACACAGTTTGGATGAGTACAATAGTCCTTTTTTTCCCCCCCTCAGAACAAAACCAGTGTTGAAGTGTGGGACAAAGCTAACATTATAATTTTCAAAGGTCACCACGCTGTGGTTAAACATACCTTGACTATGTGCATGTCTACACCATACATTTCCAACCACTTAGCTTTGTTTAAGTAGTTAGTTTCAGCCTGTGCTGGTGTTTGCCCCCTGAAATAAATTTTTTGCTGTTAGGTAGATGCCTGAAAAAGCACAGAAAGAAAAAGCTGGTATATGAGGAAAGAGGAAAAGAAATTCACAGAAGTTTGTGAAAATCCTGAATGCTGCTGACACTTGTCTGCTTCCAAGAACATCAACATCACTTTTGTAAATTTTAATCTAAAACTGCTGCTGCAAAAATTATTAGATTTCAAGATTCTGTACCTCATCATTTTACTCAGACCTTTCAAAAGCTTCATTTTTCACACTTATATCCTCTTACAAAATATGACAGAATCGTATTAGAATTATGTTTCTGAACAAGACCACAAAAGCAGCATCAGCAGCATCTTTTTAATATATTCTCTTCACAGAAAAATCAGTGCGAACATCTGGTTAGCATTCACCTGCATTCCTTCCACTTCTCAAAAATGGCTAGTTCCATCTCCTCGGTCTGAGTGGGAACAAACCTGAACTCAGACACCAGTTCGGGGACATGTTCAGCAGGATCATAGTCTCCAAGTTCAGCTAGAAAAGAACAGCATTGTCAAGCAAAGTTCCCAATAAACACAGTGGATCTTAACAGGAACTTTCGCATACTTTTCTAGTTCATCTAAACCACTAAATTTCTTTTTGTCTTCCTCCTTCACCTCCAGTCCTCCCAATATTTGAAGTGTCACCTTTTTGACAGGGAAATTATGGACACTGAAAAAATGGTCATGTTGTCTGAACAAAAGCTTTGCCTTCATTTTTACAAAGTACTATTGATATATTCCTTAACAAGCTTCCTGCAAATGGAAGTTATCAACATTCTTGAAACTCACCTTTTTTCTTTCTTGCAGAAAGTTTTCAACATTTTTATCACTGAAGTCTCTACTGAGATGACAGCTGACAGAGTTACAATGGAATTTTGCCTTAAATTATTAAAACAAAATCTCTTGAGATTTGTAAAAAGCAAAACCAGTTCTGACAGTTTTTAATAAAACTGCCTGTCCATTCTAAATATCAATTTCTGGTTTTATGACTATACATCCCCCCTGCCCTGCTAAATTTACTCTGTGTGAGGACACAATCGTGCAGCTGTTATTTGTCGCTCTCCTTTTCATCTAAGAACATAATAAATGCCCTGCTGGGTCAGTCAAATGGCTCATCTAGTCCACGGCCGCATGCTCAACAGGGGCAATAAGAGATGCTATTTAGAGAGCATACTGGAACATACTAGTTAATGGGTGTGACACATCAAAAGCACAACCTCCTTTTTCCACAGATGCTAACAAGTCCAGCTTTTAAAGACCAATGTATACCTAAAATGCTGAAACTCACAGTTAGAAACCTTTATAAAAATGTCCTGATTTTCAGAGTCACTAAGCATTTGTTCCTCCCACTGCCTTCAAGCAGCTTCTTAACGTCCGGCTCGTATCGAAAAAATTAGGAATAATTCTGTAACTTGGATCTTGGGTGTCTGATACAGGCCAATAATTATTCTGTCTGAAAAAAAGAAACTACAGAAGTTTGTGTAGGAAAAAAAGTAATGACATCTTTGGGAAGACCTGGAAAAGTCAAATAAATACACAGAGTATTCCATAGGTAAAGAAACTACATACAATCTAAAAACCTGTTTCTTGGATTTCTGAACACTGCAAGCATAATAGTAGTCTTTTCACCCCCTCATTTTTCTGGTTGGTTGGTTGCCTTTTTTTTTTTTTTTTTTTAATGCTGACTGAGGAAGTCTGTAGTTCTATAATAATTTACTCCCACTAAAACGCCTGCTTCTGTTGAAAGGAATGCTGTCAAAACCAGCTTAGGTTCCAGCTGATTTAAATAAAAGTACACAGCTGTCAGACAGTAAGATTAAAGCCCTGCTACGGGCCTCATTGTGGAGAGGAAAGAAAAGACCAGCACAAAAAGCAATGGATATATGGCCTAATTAGATCACTTTGTTTTTCCAAAAACTTATTCACTGAACCCGTATCTTAAGGCTCTAACAATGCTAATATTTTTAACTATGGAATGTGTTCTAACTGTTTTCCTTCCACATGAAAGAGCATCTTAAAAAGGCAGGTATCTTTACAGTTTAATCCCAACTCTTTATACCTAAACAGGATCAGGGCCATTAGTAGTTCCTGCCTGAAGAACAAAATGTGTTTTGGAAACTATCTGTACGAGAAAGATTCTCAGTGACTTAGTCCTGTTACCTAACTCCTGCAAAGTACGTACAACAGTGCAATAGCTTGTAAGATGAATATTGTGTAGAGGATTGGTGCTGCACAAATGCGTGGCACAGCTCCAAATTCCCTCTTCATCAAAGAGGACTGTACAGCAGTACAGTCTTTACAGGATAGGTTCCAGGGTTTTTTGTAGACTCATAAACTGGATTGAATAAGGCCATATCGCTATATCCTCCAATAAGGACCCAAAAGCTTACTCTGGCAGACATTTCTAAAACTTCAAGCCTCCCTCCTTTCTTTCATGAGTTCTCCTGCTTGAAACCACTGCAAATGTCACATTCATTAAGATCACACCCTCATCCAAACAACAGAAGACAATGGCCATGAAGACCAGTGATGTGCAACCTATACAAGCAACTGAAGGTCAGACCACAGCTCTCAGAGAAGCCATGGATGCTGGAGTCTCAGCTGGAATCAAAAGTTAAAGACAACTCATTAATAAGTCTCAGATTACTCAGGCATAGTGATGTATTGCTGAAAAAATATAGTGTGTCACCTCTTTTGGCTGAAGAAGGACCTGAAATACCAACAAATGAATTTCAACCATAAATGCTCAAGTACAAGCATGAGACATGGGGCACTAGCATGTTTCTGCAAATAAGCTGAAGTCACGAGATGGTGGGTTTTATGTACAGGATTTTTCAACTGAGTGCAGAACCAAAATAATTTTTACCTGATTTGTACAGCAATGAAAACACATGGCAGAAACTACACAGTGAAAAAGAAGTGAACTGTGTTCCTATATCAAAGCAGTTCAGGAAAACTGCAGACCTCGTATCTTGTGTGAAAGTGGACAGGTTTGCACACAGCCACCTGAGAAAACAAGTTTAGGGCAAAGCAGTTTATGTTCAGAACCTCCTTGTTCTGTTTCCTGAGGAATCAAGTAATTTTCTAAATGTGCTCTCAGCAGAATTAGAATCAGAAAGAGCTGTATTTCACACTGGATCGCTAACGTCCGGGCAGAACCTATTTTCTGGATATAACAAGGACAGACTAAAAGAGGCAATAAGAGTCTACACAAAGCTGTTCATGCAACTTCATCCTTCCCTGCTTGTACCTACTCACCTTGCATGTTATAAGCTGCCAATTGGACGGCTGTGTCAAAAGGACATTCCAATCTGCCGTAAGAGAAATGCATTGTTAAAACGTTAACTGACACTATGTAGCCGACAACTCATATACCTGACAGTGAGAAACCGCAAATGTTTGGGATAAGAAAGTGAAAAAGCATTAGTAGATTTTCAGCAAATTAACAAGAGATAAGCACTATATTATTTAAGCATTCCTCTGCTGTTATTTATTCATAGCAAAGTAGTATTTTAGAGATAAAAGTAACATTACATTACTTAGCAAAACTTTTAAATTATCCAAATATAAGTTCAATAAATCCTATGCGAAACACACTGTAATCATTTAAAAAAGCTGTTTATTTGGAATACTTACTTTCCACTAAGAATATCCAGTTTCAGCTGCAGAACAAATAAATACCTGTAGGATTAAATGAGAAATAAAAGACGTTGATTAATAGTTCTAATGTGTCACTCAGCCAGCAGGAAGATAAAGCCTGAAAAATAAAAAAACGTTTTCTACCCTTTACATGGGTTTTCAAGCCTAAAGAAACAGCATTGTGATCTTTCAAGGCTTTATCAGTTGGTTTTTTTATGCTTTGCACACATTTCAACTGAAGTAAACCAAAAACTGGAAGTTGTAAAGCTGAACTACAGTGTTGCATGGGAAAATAAATAGGATACCTAACTAAGCCTTATTTTTTCTCTTCTGATCCTCGTTGGGCAGAGAACAACTTACACTTTCCACATTTTCTTCATTATTCATAGACTTATTGATCTCATAAGAGAATGAGTATTTTAAAGTCTCTCAAAAATAAATGTTCCTAATACAGATTGCTTAGTTAAAATCTAACTCAGAAAGATGACTGCAAAGTGACAAAAAGAATAAACAGTAAGCTGCAGCTATTTTAACTTGTTTACTCTTCAGAGCCAGCTTTCCTTCGCTGCCTTGCTTATTCAGTATTCTTCTTGCTTAGAAATTACGCAAATATTGAATACAAAGCTCCTATCCCTCTAGTGTGCAACACCAATCCTTCCGATCCAATACCCACAAAGAGTAGCCTTCTTGCTCCACTATGGTACACAGCTTTAACAACAGAAGAAATAGTCTCATAAACTAAACCACTGGTATCTACAACTGTATCCAGTCTGAATTCTACTACAGATGAACAGAAGTCTTACGCACAAAGCCAAAGACAACGCTTCTGTTTCAACATGTGCCCATGTCTCCTTGTACTCACATACATAGACACGAAACAGATGCAAGCATTTTTCCTATAGGCCCCTTGGAAATCCACAAACACCTTGCCAAATCATTTATTATCCAAAGCCTTTTGACCATTGGCCCCTACATGGGGAATAATTTTGTTTGTTACTGGCCATAGGTATCAAAAGAATAAGCACAGGCCCCCCTGTGTACAGTCTGCGCTTATCAGCCACATAACACTTGCAAACAGTTCATACATGCTTCCCATGCTTAGGCTGTTACATGACCTCTGACTGGTGGCACCTGATGAGAAGCTGGCAGAAATCGTGTGCAAGCTGCGCCTCTGGAAGCTGAAAAGTGGCTCCAGCTGGGTGTCCTGCTGCACCAAGAAAAGGTGGAACCCTTGGAAAGTCCCTGCTAGTGACACCTATAACCCATAGCAGAGCTCCCCTTACCACTGCTTCTTTAAGGCATAAAATTGTCTCAGGACTGAAGAAAGACTTGCTGCTCTCCTTTTCTGGTGGATTAGCTAAGCAGACAGACAGGGTTTAAAAGCCCTCAGGTTTCAGGTCTGCCCTGCTAAAACCTGTATCGCAAGGTCTGACTGGCAGAACTCAGGATGGATGAAAATGTTTCATAGTGGTATATACAGATGTAGGTCTGAATTTTGTCTATGGTTACTATTTTTAAAGACAGTTAAATGTTTATTCAGGAACATGAATGGGGAGGTAAAACATCCTTCCCAGATCAGCAGGAAAGCATTAAAGAAGAGAGGTTACAACATTATGTTACCACATGTAAGTAAGAAGCTGCACAGGGTACATATGGCTGTAAGGGGTAATGCTACTATAATCTTCCCGGTAGCACGCCTAGGGATTCGGCTAAAGTGCAGATCGAAGATCCACACAGACATAAACCTGAACAACAAAAAAAATGCACTTCATGCTCTTACAAATGGCTGAGGGTATGAAGCGTCTACAGCTATCAGGAAAACATAAAAACTTCGTTTTCTCTCCAAAACGGATCATCGGCATTGGTGACAACACAAAGAAACATTGCCTTTTACAACAGATTTATACTACTGACAGATGGCAGGTTGTGTTCTCTTTCCAAGCACCCCAAGTATGTCTCAGTCCAATATGAAATGCAGTGTTATGAACGGATCTGTGAAATGCTTAAATCAAGTGAAACTGCTGCTCACCTGATACTACAATCCTACATGTATTGTACTGTCAACTCACATCTCAACATGGTAGTAGTAAAATACTGTTTTCCCTTTCCATAAGCTCTGCAAAGACCACAGAAGTAATTAAACATTAGCTGAACTTATTTTTGCCAGAGAAGCTAACTTGCAATTCAATGCTTTTCTGTCTAAAGAGATAGTGTAACTACATATAGTTGAAACTAAATGCAACTTAAGACGACTAAAGAAAGAGGAATGATGTCTGTTCTCTTCAGCAAAGACCTCTGTCCATTGTGTATTATCTACCTGAATCAGTTGCCAGAATTATCAAATGAAAAACTGTGCATCAAGTAATGTAGTAAACATACAGATCTCTTTTATATTAGAGCTCGTTTATTTAATGAGTGCTACACTAGAAACATTTACAAAAAAGCCAAGCAAGCAAGCAGCTCTAAGCAATTATCCAAAACATCACGTAACTGTTTGAATAAATACCACAAAAACATTTTCCTGGCCTTATTTGGGTACCTTTCTCTCACACAAAATCCCTCTTACCTCGTTAGTTCTTCACGTAGATTGTTGGGCTCTGATGAGTAAAACTTTACACGAAAATGCAGACAATACGGCGGGCCAACTGTGAAGTAGAAGTTATTCAACAGTTATGGATGAGACACTTTTATTACACAGAATCACATCACAAAACTTGACTGAAATTGGCTCTCTCCTAGCACAAGGTTTTAAGGCAGGAATTTCTTTGTGACAGGGAAATGCATGAAAAACATCAGGGTGAAAGGACACTTAAATATATGCATAAACTAGTTTTATATGTTACAACTCAAGCCACCAGTCATATCACATTAAGTTGATTTGTCCTGCCAAGAGCACACGAATCTAGGTTAATCCCTATATTTAAGGACTCTATCCATCACCAAGAAAGCTGTGCATCTTGGCTCTGCAGTTGACCAAACCCCCTGGCACTCTGTTGGTCTCTGTAATGCCTTCCCAGGGCTCAGGGAAACACCCACCACTGACCACTTAGGCCCTTTTATTCCACAGAAGTTTAGAGTTATTTTAGGGGGTTTTAGAAGACCCTTCTGTGGAAGAATCGTCTCTCCTGGGAACAAAAGAGTTAATTCAGCAACAGGATGGATTAACAGGTCTCTAAAAATGTGCATCGCTCTGCTGATTCTTGCATCTGACAGGAGGAATTTTCTCTCTCTCTGCGCTTCCAAAACTTCTGTTGTATTAACACAGCACCACAAATCCCTGAAGACTTCCCACAGCAGAGAGCAAGGAAGCTGCTAAACAGAAATCAGCTGATATCACAGCTTGCCCAAGCACGCACCACCGAATCGATCAAGCCACACTAAACTCTTGTACAGCAGGTAAGGACTTGGTGGACAGAACCCAGATTCGGGCATTCAGGACTGCCCCAAGGGATGGAGGCTCCAAGACAAGTTTTCCTACAGTCAGGATAATGATCTGTAACACTAAAGCATCTTCATCTGCCTTGACTACATTTAAACTATAATTAATGACCCTTTAACATGTTTAATTAAGGACATTAGACTAAAGTAATACAAGCTACACAGGGAAGAGGTCATTAAACAATCAGGAGCACCATTGTTGGGTTTTTGTCACCAGGTCTTGTCACCCCTCACAGGACACCATCCCCCCTCCCCCCCCCCATTTCAGCTGTGTGCCTTCTGTATTTCAATCTGAGATCCCAAGAGAAAACTGAAAGGACACTTACTTTTAACTTGCTTTTTAATGCTTTTTGTGTTGTCCAACCAATGCTGAAAAATAAATTACTTTCATTGAAATATCAATAACGAAATCACATAGAAAGAACAAAAAAAGAAAAAAAACCCCTATTAATTAGTGAAGACCATCTTGGAATAACAAGTAGTTTGTTAAAACAATCTAACTCAAGCCTTTAACAATTCACAGTGCTCATGAAAGATCCTTTAAGTTTATAATGCAGAATGTCAGTTTTGAACAACAGAAACATCTTGTAGTACCTTATTTAAAGCCAATCTTCAAGGAAGCACTATCTACTTTTAAAAAAATGTCCTGACAAACCACTTGAATTACTAAAATTTTCATCCTGTCCAAACAAACAAACAATTCACATGTTAGCAGGCCAGCCAGTGACAACATGCCAGAAGCATAAATCATAGCTGGAGACTCTGGCACTTGGCTGTTTGTGATGCCCACCTGGGGTGGAAGGTGAGACCAAATAAATGTTGGCCTTTAGACATTTTCTTTAGGTGACTCAAGCATTGTAACAGCAAAGCTGTCTGTGTCCAAGCATGAGGGTCAGCTCTACTTAATTTTCCAAAACCTATTCACATCTGACATTTTAGAAATTGTCACATGGGAGAACAGAAATTACTGTCTCACCTACTAGTGCTAATTATAAGCTATATACTGAACATGAAGCCAAAATAAAGGCTTCACTTACACTGCATGCAACAGCATGTGAAAATTGTTATAGATGGCAGGTTGCAAGAAACATCTACGCATATATGCTATGATCCCTAAAATAACTGCGTATGTTCCCACTGCTGAAGAGTTTATACTAGAAAATAAAGCTGGAAAGCTAACATACAGCCAGTGGTAGAGACCTACTTCCAAGTGTCGTGCATAGTGAACAGCTCCCTCCTCCAAAGGAGGTGACTCAGATAAAGTAAACACAGCACCTTATTCAACATACTCGCGTGGACTCAACAACCAGAGCAAACCACCTAGCACACCATGTCCTGCACAGTTCACGATGCCCAGGCAACACCACCTCATTTGATCAACCCCAAATGCCATCTTGCAACTAACAGAGATGAATTACGTACTTGGCAACACTCCTTTTGTTAAACTGTGTGCCGTAAAGTTGACAGTGGGCCGCATGGAGGACAGAAAAGCAACAGGGGTATGAGAAAGAACCGGTATTTTCAGGTTACCATGCCAAGTGCAAACACATTCCTGTCTTCAGAGCAGCCCTGCCTTCTGCAGAGAGTGTGTAGAGTCAGCCTGTAATACAGCCAGGACATGCCGTGATTGATATATTAGCTGGAGATCAGAACAACTGAACCATCTACTGCCGCTGTGCAGAAAGCTGAAAATGCTCTCATTACCTATTAAAACAAAGTAGCTACAGAAAGCTATCTGAAATGTATCTAATATATTTTTACAATAAAGCAGGAAGCTTAAGGAAGAATGAAGCAAATACTTACGTCAACTTTGCTTACACTACCAGCAAAATGGCATTGAGCAATTTTGTTTGTTTCTTTACAGAAATTACATAATCTGTCTTCCTATTCCATAAACTCACTCACTGTAAGAGACAATTTACTCACTCCTTACTCCACCATAAAAATATACAAACTATCCACTTGGAGGCTTGCAGGTGATTTAGATAGGGGAATGACAAAGCCAGTCATTTCTAGGCTCCAGGACTGGCTGTGCACGCCTGTTTCATCTCGCTCCTGTTTTCTCTCATCTCCTACACATTCCACGGGAAAGCAACTGAGAGGCCCACGACAGGCACTGATAGCATTTTACTCTGCTCAGCCGTTACCACTGCTGCCTACAAGAGCTTCATGCGAATGGTAAGGGAGTGTGTGGACGAAGGGAAACAGAACTGCTCTTAAATGGAAGAGGAAAAAAAAAAACCACAACAACAAACCCCAAAAACCACAAAAACAAAACCCAAAACCAACACATGCATGGACACACACAGATGTCAGGAAACTTAAGATTTATTCCAAGTGATTAAAATGGAATTCAAATAGCCCTGGCAAAAAGTTTACATTTTGATGAGAGTTTGCTCAGCACAGTCTACTGCTGAAATCCAGAGATAAAGTTTGCTAAACAAAAAGCAATATGAACAACAGATTGCATAGAGTACTGGAAGTCCTTACTAAAACAGCTTGCTGCTTCTCAAATTAAAAAAAAAAAAAACAAAAAACCAACTCTCAAAACAAAACACAAAAACAACCCCCAAAACCCAGCAACGTTTCAAGAAGGTAGGGTAAGCCAGGTTTTTTAGTAAGACTGTGAGGCTAAAACTGGTCCCACACTTTATGGAGTCAATGGGTGCATACTTAGTGCAATGCTATACAAATAATTTTTAGCATTAAGCACTACATTAGATAAAATTGACAGAGTAACAAACCAGTATGTTGTAAAAATCCATTAGGAAGAGCAAGTATGTGATGCTTGCAATCTGTATGTTAAAATTAGAAACTTGCCACCAGTTAAATGTTCAGTGCCTCCCTACTAGAAACATCTCTCCAGCATTTCTGGAGGAAAAGCCAAATAGCCCAACAAGTTAACAGCAATCTTCATCTTTTGTGTTACTGGACGTTATGCACTGTTCATTGTCAGCTGAATTTAACTTACTCAAATTAACAATAGCCCGTTCCCTTGGCTGCCAGACCAAGTCTGACATATGGTGGACAATCTTGCAAATAACTCCTTTTGCCATCTCCTGCCTCTTAAACTGGGGGGATGAGGGGGTGTGGGTGTGTGAAGGAAGGGAATCTATTCCTAACCATCAGACTAGCAATGAACACAGAAATCACATGGAGAAACAATTCTTTCACTTCACTAATTGTTTCAAGAATTTCTTTAAAGAAGTTAGCATCTGAAGCTTAAAATCTAAAAAAAATCTAAAATCTAAAATGTCAGGAAGAGTCTGGGTTCCCCTCACTCCCCAGTACATCATAAACTCAAACACCTAACTATTAATCACTTCAGCAGCTCAAAAGAAGAAAAAAAAAGCTATCCTTCGGTTGTTCAAAATGAATTTATTGAAAACTCATTTTAGTTAAAACAAGCAGGGAAATTCTCGATTTTTTATTTAACTACATGCTGATAGTTTGCCAGAGTTTTTATATTATCAGATATAATTAGCTAGTAAGGCAATATACTTAGATTTAAAGTTGTGTACCAAAACCATTATCACCCTCAGAGCCAGCAGACAATTCTGCCCACAGTAAGGGACTGGATTCTTAAACCATTTATTTAACAGGTCTCCTGAATAATCTTTGACAAACCACTTTATTAGTCTCTGCCTTTGTTTCCAGCTGCAGATTGGGTTTCTGCTAGAATGTGCGAGAGCTCCTCTTTGCAAAAACGGCTGCCATCACAACAGTTCTTCATTTCTTAAAGCAATTATCTCTGGCTGTTGTGTTCAGCTCCTCTGGCAAAACGCAATCTTTTCTGCTTCATTATGCAGAGTGTATCATTAAAGTCCAGTTTAAAAAGATTGTTATCTCTGCTCTGCCTCTTTTCAGTCACACATAGTTAAGAAAACGAAGCAAACTAAGTTTGAAATCACTTGTACCTGGGAGATTGTGCAGTATCAAATACTCAATCAGGTGCTGTCTGGACTGGAAGTAATAATTTCCTGGACAAAAGCAAGCCATGAGCCATTGCTGAGGCAGAAAAGATTAACTCTTATTTCCCCATTTCAAAATTAAATTATGTTATTTGAAAAAAGAGCAGCAACAGAAAAAAGTTTACTATACAGATATTTTCACCAGTTGTAACTAACCCACTGTGAACTCTTATGAGATCCTAGAGGCACATGGAAATACTTCAGAAGCCACATGGCAGAAATTGAGTTAGGATAACTCAAACGTACAGATTATTTTTTTTCCTGAGGCAAAAAGATAAAAGCAATGGAGTCACTCATCATCAATACACAACTTTCTAGACTGCACATGCTTAACACAGCTAAGATGATTTTTATAAATATAACATGGTATGCAATGGACTGTTTTCTAATTTCCATTGGTAGGAGGTATGCATGGTTCTGAATGACATCCCTTCATTAGTGTAATGGTCTTTTTTTCCTTGATGTTAAATGTCTCTGTTCTGCAAGAGGTTTAAGACCACTTTCACTACTGGGAACTGCAGCCCAGCAGCAGCTAATCCTGAATTTTACTTCAGATGTTGAACACAAATTATTTTCTCAAAAGAGAATATTCTCTACAATTACAAGCGAAGCACAAAACAGTCGCAATAATTTTGCGAAGTAGCCATTAGGCTGTAAGTGTGCTCTTGTTGTGGAGAACACTGTGTCCAAAGTCGTCGTATTCTTTCAAAGATTTAAGCTTTGGAAGTTTTTGCCTTAGTACAAAGTTGTAACAATTATGATGTCACCTTCGAATTGTTCTGGACAAAGACCCTCAGAGAAATAAAGGAATATATATCATTGCCTCCATTTTGTATGTTGACCTCAAACAATTTGGATTGTCTGTGCTTACACTCTGCCATCCTAATCATGAAGTAATTCTGAAGTGGACTTGAAACACAGAAACAATTAGGTCATACATCTAACAAATACGATTGATGTACACAGTAATAAAACTCAGATCTCCTTCTATCTCGGGGTGTTGGGATAAGTGAATACAGGTTTAAGTTACAGGGATGCAGGACAGAGACAAGAATCCACTCGTCACCTAACACCTCACTTAACTAGCAGCTATCATTGTGGGCAGGATTAAGTACTTGGCCATAAGGAGTATCTGTATAAAACTGCACAACCTGCAAGTTAAAGAACTGTGGTTGCTTCTGACAAACAATGCCCTGTTTCTGTTTTCAAAAGCAGTCACATTTTTACAAACACACAACTTCACAAACTCATTCAAGCTTGCAAGAACCCTCTACTCAAACTGTCTGGTAAATACAAACATATCCATATCCTTCCAAAAATGTCTAGTTGCAGGTCTGAGTCACAACCAATTTGAGCAAATCAAAGGTATACACCCCTATTACCAAGATTATTTCCCAAAATGACTTTTGCTGACAAGGAAGTTGACTGCATTAGCAAAGGAAAACTTTCTCCACTCTGTAGAACAATGAAGGGCCAAGCACACTCTAGTTTTGCCCCTTCCTCTCTGCATCAGCAGCATCAAGAATTTCTACATGACGTGCCAGGCTCTGGGGTCCTACTGGACTAGCCTGCCTAATGACAACAGAAAGTGTGACAGGAACAAGTGAAAGACAAGAAAGGAAGAGACAACAGCATTGTAATATGTTAGTGTGCTTGAGGTGGAATTAAACTTGGGGTCACTTCAACACACCACAGAGCTTCTGCACAAAACTTAACTCAAAAAAGGCAGCTTCCTTACAGCGTTTTTGTCATTATTAAGATTTAGCTTTTAGACTGTTGCTTAAAAGAAAGGAAAAAAAAGAAGAGGAAAAAAAAAGAAGAAAAAATAAGGACTGCTACTCACCGCCACTTGTGCAGAATCCATGAACCTTAATCCAAAGTAGTCACTTTCTATAAGGTCCAAATGATACATGATCTGTTCAAACAGGAGCTGACCTTTGGCTTTTTTCTGAAAATATGAAAGAGAAACCCAGAATTAAGAATCTGAAAATATAACAGGGAAATTTTTTTCTCTTTTTTTTTTTTGTTTGTGTTTTTTTTTTCTTTTTTTTTTTTTGCTTGTTTTTGTTTTGTTGTTTTTTTTTTTTTTTTTTGTGATGGCTGTTTTTCTGAGAAGCAAACGTACACCCTGGAAGAAGCATACATAACACCCTTAAAGGATTTGGAAAACATCAACATTGACTTGCACAAGACTGAGTGTTAAAATACTGTTTTATCATGGTCCCTTCTATGCTTCCCTTACTCACTGAAGTCCAATAAAACTGGAACTATAGCTAGTACAATGACTAATGCACTGGAAAATTTTCAGAGTGAAGTACAGCAAATTTCTTAAGAATTTGCTACTGTTTGTTATCTAGGAAACTCACCAGTTTTGAAGCAGATAGCAAAGCATACTGAATTAGTATATAGCATTCCATTAGCAAGTGCTTTTAACACCTGCCAGGAAACAGCCTGGGGAAGCAACTTTAATGAACAATACTTGGATAATACATTTACAAAAGTAAACATCATTTTTACAGTGATGATCTAAAAAATTAAACAGCTGTTTTTCAGGAGAAGGTACATAAATAGCACTGAGCAGTTTTTACACAACATACAATTTTCATGCTACGAACTCTTTCATAGTAATACACAGAAAGAAAAGCTTAGCAGTAATACATGAGATGCCTAAAAGTAATAAAAATACATTAATAAATTAGATCAGAGTACAAGTCACAGTGTTATAAGGAAGTATTTTTAAAAGCAAAGAAATATAGAAATGATTTATGCTTATTCTGCAAGCAATTTAAGGATTTTTCTCTTTCATAATGCTATCACATCTTGCAATCTTTTATCTTAATATTTATACATTCATGACTTGAGAAATGGGCTAGCTTTCTAAGCATATGTTATAAGCTACATATTAGCAGATTTAGTCCACCCCTCAGAATTCCTGGCGAGCCAAAATTCTTATTCTCAGAAGTAATCTGGTTTAATCACTGAGTCATATCCATGTAAGAAAAGCAGCATACACAGTTTTCACCACCTTTTTCTACCCTGATCTTCAAATATTTTAGATTCAACTTTGCATGCATAATCACTGGCTTACTCTATGCTTTAGTTAAATCCCACATGACATTTCTCAATCCAAAGTAAAATCTCAGAAAAGTCTGTAAACTGAACCTGCCTAAGCAAGTTCTCCCATAGTTACTTATTTCCAAGTATTGGGGGTGGTAGGGAGAACGGAAGGTAAGTAGACCAGCAGGCAGCTTCACATGCACACAGCATCTACAAAACGTTGTACAAGGAAAATGCTGCGATGTAGACCTCAGACTCATTCAGAGCAAGTTTTTTTCTGTTGACTTCAAGAAAAAGTACTTCTCAAGCCATAGCAGATTTATTAAACACCAGCAAGACTCTCCTAGGAGAAGCCTTAAGGCAAATCACCTACATATAAAAACCACTAATTTCTTCCACTATTTGAGTCTGTAGCCTCTTTCTTGAAATAGTAAGGCATTGAGCTGTTAATATTTTCTCTCAGCACAGGATACCGTCTGCTTAAACAGTAAGATGTACCAATACAAGTGAAATCAATTCAGCATTTGCAACAGCAAAACTAGAAAAATGTTTTATTTTGCACGAAGCCTTCTGCACCTTATCTAAATGTAGAGGAAAATCTCCCCTTATTGGGCAGAACATTTTAGGTCCTTCCCAATTCCTCAGTAAGTCATTTCTTAAAGCTATCATTAAGTGGTTATCTCAGTCAAATTCCCTCCCGGGAACAGGCAACTGGCTCAACCCTGGAATTACTGCATGTAATATCTCAGACTACCAACAAACAAAATTTATTGTTCAAAATTCTGCAGCATCAGATCAGTTTCAGAGCGTGTTCACCTCTTTGGTAATCTCAGCAAAGAGCTTAAAGATCAAGTAGACCCAGAAAGTCCCCAGACAACAGCACTGGAGTGGCTGTGGAAAGATTTGCAGGGCTACTGGCTGTTTGCTCACTTAAATGACCAAGGCTGTCAACATGGAATTAATTATGCAGTACGTTGCATATGATTTAAAGCATCAGTGGCTTTATTTGGTTCCAGTCAACGAAAGTTTCACACATGCTTTAATGTTGAATTCAAATTCTTTCTTAGAGCCTTACTAAAGTCCTTCCTCCTTCTATTTAAACAAATAGCTGCCAAAAATTGCATTGCTTTGTAGCAGGTCCATTTTTATGAAGCAAAATTAATTTATTTGGATTCAATAAAACCACATTCTCAAGTGGTTTCAAAAGACATAGCAAAGATACACATGTATTACATTTGCTGGTGAAAGTCACCTGCAACTCTAGAGTGGCAACATTCACTTTAAATGACATTTTTATCCCACTGCTACCCTATGCTTTTTTTTTTTTTCTCCTTTGTCCTTTCTCTTTTCTTTCTTGCCTTGCAACAGCGTGCAGGTTACTCACAAAGGACATTTTCAAGCTGCTTAATGGTTACTGAGGAACTCCACTCACATGCAGCCCAGCCAGTGGCTGGTCCTCCCTTCAGGGCACAAATTAAATTCCTCATGGGTTTGTAATTCTGTAAAACCTAACTACTTAATTTACACAGTTTGCTATACTCTGTAGGAAGCAACAGCAAACATCTCACAGCAGGAGAATCAACAACTGAACTGAGAAACTTAAATAAAATATGTCATTTATATAGGGCAGGCCATCTAGTGGTTTTGTTACTTTGGAATGAGATAAAAGCATCTTTTGATTGCTTTGGTATGAATCGTGCCCCCCATCCCCTGGATGGAAGGGATGTTCCCAACGATGTCCTAATGACATTAACAACTGCGACTGCTGCCTCAGTACGTGTTGGAAAGGCTGGACTTAACCCCCACAGCTCAGCAGCAAGGCTGGGTAAAGCCAACTCTGGTGTTTACCTTGGCAGGCTGGTTAGTCCCTTCATTACCAGGATATCGTGATACAGAGACGTTCACATTGGCTTAGGCATCTCAGTCACTGCTTAAAACTAGAGAGGCAGCATCTATACCCTCTTGTCATGGTCTCAGAGGTAAAAGCTTTTACATGGATGCACATTTAAGAGCATAAGCCAGCAACTCAGTGCTCCACACCTTGCCTGTCTGATGTAAAAGCCACTTTCAGTACTAGCAGCAGCACCCAGTACAGCCCAGCACTGGTGAAACACCACCCACTTAGAGCAGCTGGGGATGAGGCCCTTGTGCTGGGCAGACACCAGCTGAATGGTTCACTTTTAAAGGTTTGTATCAGGCTTTTAATCACAGTAAGGTACTTCAACCTTCCAAAACTCGAAAAAAAATAAAATCAAACCCAAAAAGCCCACCAAATCAATTTACTAACTAAAATGCCTATCAGAAAAGGATTTTTCTCCTCTTTATTCCTTTTCTTTGTGAAGAAAAGGAGGTCCCTATACAAGATGAACTCTGAAAAAATAGATGAATAGGCTTTACCTTCATGGGATTTATATCCCTTGTGTCTTTGCAGCTGTACTTTTCTGTCAGGAGATTTCTTCAAATGATTATGTTAATATAGCTTATCAACAATAGATATTGCCTTCAGTAGCTACTGAAAAGTAAAAACCTCCCTGACTCTTGTCAACTCATTAAGTGGGTTACCATTCACATTCATACCAGTTTCCTCAGAAAGACCCCATTTAACCCCCAGAGAAGCTAGGGATCCTTATTCAGGATTTACAGCTACAGTGGTAGGATGGTACCTATGCACACTTGCAGACCATGGCAGTGCAAACGCAGTAGATGAGCCTGTCCATTTTTTATTAATTCCCATCCTCCCAAATGACACGTTTCAAAAAAATAAACCATGAGAAAGCTCCAACATTGAGCTTTAAAGGAAAAAGATTTAAACTCAGTATCATGAAAACAGTATCTATAGTTAACACCATTAGGGCTTGCTGGAGAACTGAAGGGTTAAACCTCCTCACCTTTACAAAGGCACTGTTAGGAGTACATAGTATTTGTATCACCCTGATCTTCTTATGGCTTTAAGTACTGACCTACAAATGGAGTTGCTCCTCTCCCCAAACTCCAAGCATCAATCTTTCAAATAACTTTTCCCAACTCTCCAGCCAATTTTCTCCATCTAAAGATGCCACTGGCAGCAAAACACCAGTTCTGCTTCTCTCTGTTTTATCCCCAGCCTTTGACAACATGTACCATAGATTCTTGTACTGAGTAAAAAGCCCTGCAGGCTGAAAGGCAGAGGAGAACCATTTCTACTTCCAGGGACAGAGTTTATCAATTCTGTTATTTACTCAATCTTTCCCAAACGTAGGAAGATAAACATTTGGGATTAAACATTTTGTTCCGGTATTCTCTGGGAAAAGAAAAATGCATCTCTCAAAAATCTTTATAAAGAATTGATATCAATATCCCTCATAACTGTATGTTTATTAGAATACTATAAAGAAAGATGTTAATGTACTGTGCTCAGGCTTACTGACCCTATACATCAAAAGACTAAGATTCAAAACATTCCTAATTGTCAAGTTTTTTTGCCAGAAGCCTCTTATTTTTCTTCTCCCAGAAAGCTTACATCTTCTTGATTTAATTAACTTCTGAGTCTATTTCCTAATGTTGTGATACAGAATATATCCAAACTACTTGTCCAGCATTAAGGTTTAAATACCTTCCCCCAGTATATTCTCAATCACTTCAGTTTTAGTTGGTGTTCCATCTCCGGTTTCTCAGCAGCAGTCTGGTTAAGAGTATATAATAGTCTTAGTCTTTACCTGAGCTCTTTACAGGAGCAGTCAGGAAAACAGGGCTTCAGACAAAATTCACTGTTACCCTGTCAGGAATGCTAAACCTTCGCACAACTAAACAAGCCTGCAGCACCATCCCCAGAAACACGGCGGGCCAAACAAATCACTCTGCTAGCAGCCGCAGCTCCGCAGGTTCCAGCTGCTCCCTTCCTCCCTTCCCACT